AGTCCCCAGACCATGCCAAAACCTTCCCATGCCTTTACAATGTTTGACTTTACACTTAAGAGTGAAAAATGTTAGCAGCAGCATGGAATGAGAGTTTTTTTGTGAAAACAATAGGCTGCCTACACTAAAAATAGTGCAGTACATAAAGAAAGTGAATTCTTCTTTTCTACACCAGAGAGCTTTCGTTGGATAGCATGGTGGAGAGAATTACAGAGCAGGCCAACATAGTTTTAATTATTTTTTAACAATTTATTTGTGGCTTATTAGACATTTATTGCACACAGCTCTTTCATTGCACGTGCTGTTAAAAACCTACGTGATCCCTGGTGTATGCAAATTCCTGTCACACAGTAACCTCAGTCAGGTGAAGACTAATCCTGGAGAATGTCCTTTGACTCAGGTGGTATCAGCCTGACATCACTCAGAACCAACTCAGTACAGGTCCTTGTGGCAATGCATGTAAATGAAGCACTGCAGACTTTCCTCCCTATCCAGGAACCATCGCAAGCACATTTGCTACATCTGGCACCCTAACAAAGTCAGTAACTACTGCCTCTCAGGCTGGTAATTTCACCTCACACACAGTTCAACCCAGTGTCGCATTAGAACAGTGTACATCACTGGGGACTTCGCTGATGCAATGTGCAACCAACCTTAAGTTATACAACACCTTCATAGCACATTGGTCTGAAAACACTAGACTAATGACAGCTGTTTCAGTAAAGAAATCAATTAGAAAACTGATTTCAGGTGCTGAATGAGTTGAGAGGATTTTTGAATATTGCATTTAATTGATTTTTATTACATTAAAATGAAAAGCACAAACTGAGATGAAAAATTAAAGCTACCAGGTGTAAATAAAAGACAAGTACATTTAGTACATTGCACACCAGCTTTAAATTTCTACATGAAAGCACTAAACTATTTGACATCTTACATTAGTTCTAAAATCACATAAATTGTAATATGAGTCAAAATGTTTGTGTGTACAAAAAGCATTCAGTGCAAAACAAGATAAAAAAAACACAAACAGAATTATGGGAAAATGTTTTCACATTTACACCATGAATTCTACAACACATGTTTTAGGCAAATATAACTTTGCCAGCTTATTGAGGATACCTAGAAATAATTAATTCTCTAATTAATATTACAGAATTATTTCAGGTCCAACAGACTGAAATCCAACTTTTCAACCACTTAGTCCTACTTAGGAGAACTGTTAAATCTCTGACTGATTGTTACTGCAATTTTTTCGTAATGTGTATCACATGGTCTGAAAAACTAGCTCTAATTCTTTAAGCTGCTGCTGGTTCCTTGCTCCTGTAATACATTATAGATGAGATGGAAATGCTCTTAAGTGGTATCACAGCTTTTCTTTAATGTTTTAATTAGGAATCTACCATTAAACAAGCAACAGTTTCTCTCTATATATGATTTTAGTATGCATCTGTTTAATTTTAACATGCTCTGTGGGAGCATTAAATCCAAGTGTGCAGCTTAGGGTCTCTAATTTATATCTTTAAAAAAAAGGCCAACTTCATTATCTGCTAAGTTTTCCTTTTAATAAGTAGCTCCCAAATACACTGTTTACATAATATAAGCACTCATCAGTAATAACATTAAATTATTTATGAGAAATACAGCAAGCAGCTCAGGTGCCAGACCCTGGCTGGTCTTGTGGATAACAGCACACTGTGTCTGTTAACCATTTTCAATTTCCTGTGGTTGTTTTAAAAATATTGTACTATATTGTGCCTGAAAAATCCCCTTTTAAATAAAAAGTATATTTTTAACTTCTGTGAAAATTATTTAGCCATTAAATGTCATTTAAGTCCAGCCTTTACTACTGATTGTGATTCAGTGACAGCTCAAATATTTCTAACTATATTGCTTCATTCAGAAGCCATTGATTAAAGTTTTATTGGAAGAAAATAATCAGTGAATCATTTTCTCTCTCCATCTTTAGTGGATGAATATACTCATTAAATATTTTATACAGCGTGTTCAAAATTCAACCATTACATAAAAAGAAATAAGTTCCAAGCACACCTACCCTTCCCCTAACAACAACTAACACTGTAGAATAGCATCTTGTGCATGTCCTTTGCACCTACTGTATGTGCAATTGACATATTTAAAGAGAAATACAAAAAAATTATCTCACTGGCCATGCACTGGTTTCCTGCTAAGAAGAGGAATAAACTCCCAGTTAGACACATTATATGAGCTGCACCCTTAAGAGAAACTGAAGATGTACATGAGTAGTGGAGATATTTGTAATGGGGATAATGAGGTGCTGAAAGGAGTCGGTGCTTCTAACGAATCATGGCCACACAACCCAAAGTTACCAGTCTCCAATACAAAAGGGCTGCACAAGATCCACAGGTCACATAGTTGCAAAGTACCAAGACTTTACAAGAGTAACTAGAATGGCCACCACTTGTGTGTACCTTTTTTATAGTATGTTTCTAAAACAAATTCACAGAACTTTCCTTAAGATTATGTCCCTGCACCCCCTGAAAGAAATAGGAGGTTAAATAAACCTTTCAACAAGAGATTGGCTAGGCCCTGATTTTCATTTACTGTACCTGTAGCTTAACAAAAAGCATAAACCCTCCATAATTTCATGAAACCCAACAAATAACCCAACCCAACAGTGGAAAAACAGGACAATATCACAGAGGATTTAATAACAGTTCAGTTAATAAGAAAACATGTGCTGAGTCTTAGAATATATATTTTTTCAACATATTATTGCATCTGGTAAGGTTGGTTCCATATTTTGAAAACTGCACCACATCAATGAATATATTGACAATATACTGACAATTCATTCATATAATGAAGATATTGATATCTTTTGCACTGGTTTACACACTCATGCACAAAAAAAGCATGATAAGTGATCTTAATTACATATAATGACTTAATAATCTACTAGCAATTTTCATTAATGCAAACTTTTAGGCCACTTTCCACATCTCTGAGTTTCAACTAATCATACTAATCATTTAGCATGGAGTTGCTTTCAGTAGTATTTATGATTATATGCACTGATATTATTTAGTTTTGAGGAAAACCATAATCAACTGCCCTTAATTCAGACTCATTTGGTATGAAATTCATATTGAATTCGGTCCATATGTTTTTATATTCCATATAAAAATATACCAAAATGCTGTATATAATGAAATATAAACAGACATACATACAATAAACAGAAAGGTCCATGTTTTTAAAATTATAAAACTGTGCATCTAACATTTAAATTAAACAAAATGCAATATCTATCCTTTTCTAAAAAAAGAAAAAGTGCACAATGCATATACTGAAAAACGAGGACTACAGCTGCCAACTGTTTGCATTTAGTCACTGTCTTTATACATCAAAATGTTGGTAAATGCTTTTACTGAATCTTTTTCCTAAACATATATCATTTCTATTTGTTATATTAAATACATGAAGTACATCACAGAAGCTACAGCTGCCTACTACAGCTAATTATGTGAGTATTTCAGCACAACTTTTTCTGACAATGGGAATCACTCTTCCTTTCTCTTATTGTAATTGAATCAAATAACACCCAGTGTTTCCGTTTCACTAGCTTTAATAGACTTTTGGAGACAAAACATAAAATAATTAATTAATAAAGCTCTTCAGAACAACAGCTTGTGAAACAGGCCCACCAATTTCAACCCGTTTACCAGGAGAGTCTGGGAGCTTGGCTTGAAACCGCCCTGCAGGAAGGCCTCCAACAGCAAGGCTTTCAAATTCAGCATGAGAACTGTTGAGAGCTTTTTCTTTCCTGCCGCTGTCTCAAACAAAAGGCCTAATGTTTGTGCTCAGTCTTCTCGCTTAGCAGCCTAGCAGCTTACGTTCATGTGTATTTATGTTGTTTATGTACTTGCAGGTCTGACTCACAAAAGGCATCACAGGCAGTGCAGTCAAGCAGGACCTTGAGAGAGGGAGGTCCCGGGTTTAAAACGTGCAGTGAGATGGAGCCTGTACAACTATAAAACACGCGAGGCAGCCGTTCCGATGGGCCACACCGGAAAAACAATCACTCTTCTCTCTCACACATTACTCAATAAAGCACCTTCCTCTGGAGCACATTTCCTTAAGAGATAGAAAGATCCCGATGCGTGTATGAAAGGCCTCTGGTTTATCCCTCAAAGTGCCAACAGATACAATATCATGAAAGCCTTTTACGGCAAGAATTGGGCAACTAAATTAAACACGAGCTAATGGGGTAAAGAAAATCTCCACAAGTCTACAGATTCCCAGTCAAATAAAAATACATGAGTTTCTTATCCTCAGAATCCATTGTAAAGTAGATTTTTAAAGAAGGAATGTAAATTGTATTTATGCATTTGTCAGAGTAACTAAGAAAACATCAAACAGATACCTTCTTCACAGTCCTCCTTCGACCTGAATTATTAAATCTGTCGACACCGTACGGATTCCACGCTGCCATTATAGTGTAAATTAATAAACTTTTTCAAACTATAGTGGAAGCAAGAGAAAGTGGGATGATACTTCAAGAATGAGCTTTGATACCTCTCAGAGGAATACAGTGAGCATCAATAATGTGGTGACAGCAAACTAAGAGCGTCAATCTTTATATTTAATCTGTTTAATCCAAATGAGATAATTTTTCTATATTTAATAAATCAAAGCAAAACCAAACAAAAAAAAAAAACACCGTCAGAGACTTGATTACGTTTATATTGGCATTCTTATTTTTAAAGATTGTTTCTGACTGAAAATTAGAGATCTAGTAGAATGCTTAGGAATTTTATTCCAATAGACCGCTGTCTTTTTTAAATTTAAAAAATACATGGATGATCGAAAATAAACTCACAATGGTGCACGCTATATGTAAAACTGCATCTTGAGCGACTGTCTGCGCTGTTCCTTTGATGTGCTCCTGAAATGTCATGTGTCGTCAAAGCTGCTGTGCATAAGCAAGACAATTTGCTTGCACTCAGAATGCCTACCGGTTTCCACAGCTATCTGGTACCCAGCTTCTAGTCTTCGCGATGACCTTTCCAACCTCTCTGTGTTATCCAGCAGATGTGCTCTCTGAAACACAAACACAGATCGAGAGAGATGAAAACATTTGAGGGTGACACTAGCACAGACCTACCGGATACTGAGCTCCTACAATTGCGTTCATCTAAGTAATTTCACCTGGACATATTCTGCTGATCTACATATTTTTTAAAACACGTATTTACCATATTCTGAACTTATAGTGACTGATAGTATTTTTCTAGAAAACAGTCTCAGTATTTAACCTATCTTCTGACATCACATACATTTTACTTTCTATATGCAACAATTTATGTAGCTATTCACTTACATATTTTCTACAAACTTCCCATTAACTGTATCCATTTAACGCAAATAATGTCCATCTTAAAAAGTCTACGGCAATGGTCTCTGCACAAATACCTCTCACAGATCTTGTTTTCATTCAGTGATATAATATTCTTTCAATTTTTATGGCAAATATATGAACAACAAAATATATAAAAATAAATAAAAATGTATATTTAACTCATCTCTGTGGTTTGTGTTTAGTGCAAGGTCAAGAGCTGATAAAGGGTAAATGAGATCAAAAATATTTGTGGCTTTACATAAAAACAAAATGATTTAGGAAAAACATTTCCTACTTAAGAAGGACCATACGTTATACATTATACATTATAAGCTAGTGCCTATTTTTCAGAACTAGAACAACTGATTTGCGATAATACTTTATAATCACATCAGTGTAAACACTGGTTTAAAACACAATTACAAGTAAAGCAATGCAGGGCATTATGCTCCTAAAGATTTTCAAGTGTACTTCATTAGCCTATTTTAAAGTAATTTTTAGAAGGTAGTGCTCAGATAAAACACCAATATACAATCCCCAAATAGAAAATGTGTTGTACACTTAATTAATCTTCCCTTTCTGAATTGATAAGGTTTTATGAATGGCACACTACATCAGAGAGCTAAACACATTTCACAAAGCAATTAAATGGATAGCTTTTACTTTTGTAATAACTAATTTGTGCACGTGTTATACTGAAGGGACTGGATACAGCTAAAGTGCAGAAACAAAACAAAAACACCAATGTTTAATGCACTAGCAAAAATAGGGCTGAATGATGACTAAGACCTAATGGTTTAAATTTAATAATTAGATGATGAGTGACAACACAATCTTAAGAAACATTAACTTCATTAGGTTATAAATTCTTCACAAAAAAAAGCCAATGGCACTGTCATGCAGTCACATTCCTAACTTTAAATTTGAGAATACAATATTAAAGATGGTTATAATTGTACGAGAGTTGGTTTTGAGACAGTTTTAGGTACAATCTGCAGTAAACAGGCCAGACTACAAAACTAGCCAGTTTCCACTAATTTGAAAACAATGGAATAGGACCCAACTTTGTATGGTATGGCTTTCTTTACTCATAGACTAGGATACAGAGTATTTATAAAGCTGTTTAAATAAGTAGAAAATCGAAATATATTCAAGTTTAAATGAAGAACAGAATTTAGCAGATATTTCATTCATGTTAGGTTCCAATAATGTTTTTGTGCCTGACTGAACAGATGTGATGCATTTAAAACTATTTGTAACTATTTTTTCCACTTTTTGCAGAATGATTACTCACAAGTTTTACTGCAAAGAGAAAATAGTATTTTGGATAATTCAGGTCATCACAGTATGAGTGTGCTTTGCTGCATTTCACATATTAGACTGCAATTGTTGTTTCCACTGTGTGTAACATTTTTTTTTTATTTTTGTATTTTGTGACCAAACGCAAACACACACAGTGGACTCCCGTCTCTCATCTCGCACATTGCCACATCCTCCTCTTTTTAATAAGACAAACTTTTCTTAAGAGAATTTTATTCCCGCTTTCTTTCATTGAAAAAAAGCAAAAGAACTGCATCCTTAGTTCTAGTTAAGCTGTCAAAAGATGTACAAACTAATCACTCCCGGAGAAAAAAAAGCCAAGACGATGTTCCACTTTTCAAAACCGGTTTCAAAGTTTGACAATCAGAAAGAGAAAAAACCTCCTCTGAACTTTTTTTTCCCCCCACCGTTGACAGATGTCATTTAAAATTGCAGAAATACTTTTTAATAGTTTAAAAAAGGGGGGTGCGTGCACATAGGGAGAATGAGCCAGCTCTCCCTAATGAGCCCCTATGGATCTGCGAAGATGCAGGCAGTATTGACATGCACGCTTAAGCTAATACACCTAGACCATGATGCCTGTGTGCCTCGGAGCACCGGCAGCCAGGGATACTGACAGAGTATCTCGCTCCCATCTTCAAAGAATTCAAGTGATTAGTATGTTATCATTACCATTCGAAACGTGATTTCCCTATTCCCTCTCGGCAAAGGTGACACATCTCGGAGAGGCGGCCAGCCGACTGTAGCAGTGAAAGCCACTTCAAAGCTTTCCTTGAATTTCTCTCTCTCTCCCTCTCCCTCTCTCTCTCTCTTTCTTTTTTGGGGGGTGATCGAGGGGAGAAATCATTAGAACAATGTGCTCAGATTGGCATTGACAGGACCTGATGTAAAGGTCAAGGAAGCCATACAGGTTCTATAACAATTAATAAGCACTCTCACATGTTGTATATGTATCCATATGTGTGTGTGCGTGCATGCGTGTGGACCTATACACACAAATACAAACACACTTCGAAATGTGTTAGATTTATGCAGGATAGGATGGACTGCATTACTGCATAGTAAGCTAACTGGAGCAAAATGAAACAAAGAAATGAAATGAAAGACTGCACTGTACAGTGTTAGAATACACTAGTGCTCCCTCTCAGTAGTTTTAAAATATATTGCATTAAATCAGCCCCTTTGCCCTACAAATAAAAAAATCTTTCACTTGAAAATGACTCAAGTTAGAGGAGGGGTTTTTTACAACCTCAAAGTCCCAAAGATATCGTTAGCATTCTCATAAACTGACCTGTCAACATTCTCATTCACCCTTCGGTATGATACCAAATCTGGTAACCACACATCAATATCATAAATAGAAAAAGAAAGACTGTTTATAAAGACAGTTAAGGAAACTGGAAGCGCTTAACAGCAAAAAAGCCCATCAATTTTGTATGGAACAGGTGGTAAAATGACACTTATCATAAGCAGGCAGTAACAGGGTGTATAGGAACTTTATTTTATCCTTTTCCCAAATCTTTTAACAGAAACAAATTGGTGCAACAAATCGGGGTTTCACGACTGACTAAAAAGCAGAGATGACTAATTCTGAAATATCACCTATATGCTCCTATGAACAAATGGATTACAATCAAATGTTTTTGATCTTTCCTTCAGAAATGGAAACTCCTACAACATTTCAGAAAACAATTTAATGTGTTTCAATTTTTATCCACATGCAAACAAGCAAAAGAGTTTAGATCACCATCAAGTTGCATTGCTTAAAAAAGGGTAACATCACATCACACCTTTCTGATGTCATAAGCATGAATTAACGCTTATTCTACAATAGGACAGATATACATATATTATACTTAAACATTCTATATACACAAAAATATAAAGGCATCAGTGAGATAAAAGAAAATAAGGTGGCATTGTTATCTTGCATCTCATTGGAAGCCATATACTCATGTTTAATAACCCATAAGCTACACAGGCGTCGCATAAAACACCAAGGACTGTCATCCAGTTTTTGATCGTTAAATGAAAAGTATATAGATTGGAACTCCAAGCTAAGCTTAGACTGCTCTCTTAACTTTGTCACCATGAACACAATGTGCCAAGCACATTTCCAATAGCGCCTTACTGAGAATGTCCTAATACTAACTTTAAAGCACTTTCACAAATGACATTAAATCAACGAAAAGAGAAATACAACTGTTGCTTAGTAAGTTAGCCAATCAAAGGTTTTGATATTCTGATTAAACTTTGTCATTGTGTTATGGACCACTCGGAGGGATATCTTCATGTTTCATGCAACGAACATTTATCTAATAAAAAATGTATTGTTTTTGAAGTATTTTCATTTTTCTTAAACATTTTAGTGTTGTCTGGTGTTTGAAAGTGATGCATGTCTCTGACCATGAAAAGTGTAGGCTATATTATCGGGATTGGCTCTCGCTTTTTCAAAGATGACCTATAATCATCAAGACGACTACAACAGTTTTACGCTGAAACAACTGTGGCACGCTTTTCTTATTATCGTGACTCACAATGCAATTACAGTCCACATCTTAACATGTTTAACCTATGCAGCTGTATATTCCCAGAAACAGATATATGCACCTGCGTTTCATAGAAATACACATATATCAAAACGAAGACCTTTGTTTCTGAAACTAAAATACTCGATTTTTTGTTTTTAGACAGAAGCCTATTTCATTTGTAGTTATTAAGAGTGAGGCAGGGAACAATGCAGCTGTGCTCAAAGATTTTTCTGCCTTCTCCCTTTTTAATATCAAACACTGGTTAGTATCACAATTTTCAAAAGTACAGATGATTCCTTATTATTTCAATGAGGGTGAGCGTCAAACTGAATAATGATGACAGCTCTGATTCATCCTAACTATGTGATCTTCTCAGGGTTTGTTTGGAACATGTAAGACAAGGAATTACAAGTGTCAAACAGCTGTGGATATGGGTGCTAAATATTTAAACATGTTTTTCAGCAGAAAAAAGTATAGTTTTTAAAAGAGAGCTAAGTATATATAAGCTGAATGTCTTTGATGAAGATACTGCAAGAAACAAAATAGCACAGTGAAAAAGGAAGAACAAAATATAATTAAATAACTGCACATTCAAAATGAAAAAATAACAAATAAATAGGTAAACTCATAAAAGTAAAAATGCTCCAGAAAAATTGATGGCTGATGTACTCTTCCCTTTGTGTGTCATCGTATAAGAAAGAACACCGAAATATAACATAAAAACAAGTCAAAAAACACCAAAGATTTCACTCTTCTGATATTTTTAAATTCTGAACTTAAGAACAGCTTTTATATGACTGGGATAATTTATCTCCATTTTCTTTGCGATGGGAAGAGAAAGATGAAAAATGCCTATGAATATACACAGTGAATAAAACAGATCCTTAAAATTCTATTGCAAAAATCAGTAGAAGTACAATGAATACAATCAATAGCTTGACTTTTCTTTACAGTATTATGCATACCAAATATAAACTTGTGTGTATTCATAATATATAAAGATATTTACAAAACACAGATAAGAAAATCAGGCACTTACAGTGCATCCATGTACTGTATGAGGCCAACATTAAGACAGAACCTTGGCCTGTCTTTTTTGGCCCATTGGGAATTTTTAAAGGGTAAACTGATCACAGTGAATATTTATACATAACTTGCAAAATTATATTTAAATAAAAGTCAAAATCTATTTTTTTCTTACAATATGTCTAGGACAAAAACAATTTCTCTCTCGTGGACGTCATTCTTAATAAAGGAAAAATTCAGAGATTTGTGTAATTGTTTAAGGTAACAGTTATGCGCCTGGGTTTAAACAAGAAGAAATGAAGATTACAGTGCAGCAAGTTAGTTATAAAAAGAAAAACATTTTCTGTTAAGTAATAAACGATGGATTAAATACATATTTCTCCAGTAAGTGCATTGGAGGTGCACAGGCATGTTTGTTTTACAAAGAAGAGATCTTGGGATATAGACTTCCACTATGTGCAATATCTGTTTGTGTCTATGAATACTAAACTAACAATTGCTCTCCTAGTCTTTAGCTGTACAGATACCCCGTGGTATAGAGGCAGTGAAGGCTGGTTCAACAGACAAACGTCAGCCCATTACTCTTTCGTGTTTACAAAAAAAAAACAACGGAAAATCTTGCCCTTTGCATCTATTCCATGAGAAAGCAGCTGCTAAGCAAACCCTTGTGAAAAAAAAGTTGAAGGCGGTGCTGGCAGGGGGAAAGAATGATCATACTGATGATACGCCTGTAGTTGTGAAATTCCAAAGTTTTCAACAGGCACAGAGGGAAACAAATGCAAAATATGTCTCAGTGAACTTGCAGGACAGCTCAAAACAAAGAGAAAACCTATCACAACAACCAAATATAAAGATAATGTCTAAGCATGTCCCTGAAGCACCAGACATCTTTGAATGGTAAAATATTTCTGTCATCAAATCTTCTAAACTCGTATGTTTCCTCCTAACAATAGATATGATTAATTTATCAGAAGAATGTATTCAAAAGTATTTTAATTAAAATTTTAACATTAGAGTTTAGCTGTCAGAACTATAGAAAAACATTTCATTATTTTTGCTTCCAAACTGTTATAATAATAAATAATAACAACAATAATAACAATGTTTGAATTATCAGTCACACTACCCCATGCAAATCTAGATATGATATTTTTTGTAAAAGCATATTAATCATATGTGTTTACAGAACTGTTGTCCATGTATATAATGTAACTATATTTTTTTTATTGCATTAAAGAAGACAGAATATGAAACCTACTAAATGGTGTATTTTATTCCAAAATCCTTTTGCTGCAATTAAAGTTAAATATTAAATAATTTAAACTGAATATATTAAATTAGAACTATACTAAAATTAATATTTTGGGACATAAGGTATATGGATTTTATTTTTTTGCCCAATAATAAAGGGAAAAAAAAACAAATGCAGATGAATAGATCAATATAAATCTATACAGCAGATCTTTAGGTGTTGATCAATAAGGAATAGATCAATAATATATTCTTATCTATTTTTAAACTAACCTTTAAATATATTTATTATAATGAAAAAATCTAAATTGTACTGAAGAGCAATCTTCTGGGTTTGGTATTAAACTTCAGCACATGCTTACTGAATTATCACAAGCTGCATTTAAGCACTAGCTAAACTGTTTCACCTGTTGGATGAGGGGACAGATGTCTGAAAGGAGAAATAAAACAATATGTTTTTCCCCCAACGGTAAATGTCTTTAAATAAAATATAAAGCACAATTGAACAAACGTGATGCAGTTCAAGCAATGGTCCAAAATGAGGTAAGTTGTGAAATGAAAGAGCAATCAAGAGTGTTTTCTAACTAGGGGGAAAAATCAATTGGAAGTTCTGAGGGAATGCCAGACTAAAATAGCTAGCGAGGAAGTACTTACCTCTTCACGTAACTTTATCAACTGCAACATGAACGCACAGAGAAAGATAAAAAGGAAAGAAATGGCAGGAAAGAGATCAGTCATGCGGCAGGGTACAGAATTAACCTTGACGATTTATCTGTTTGCATGTTTAGCATTTAGAAATCACAGACAAACACATTAAACGAAGCTAAACACAGATTCATGCAGAGTTTTTGAACAAACAAAGATCACTTCTTGCGCTGTCACATTAAACAAAGAGAGTGGAATGGAATTCTCTACTCTTTTTTTTTTCTTACTACATCTAAAGTATCATCATCAAGGAAAAAAAAAATCCAAGTCACATCACAGCACTCAATATGGCAAAGGAGAAAAACAAGAATCATTCTGTTCAGTTTTAAAACAGTGAACTAGTAAAGCAAGGGCTTGGAGTAGCAGGCATGTGCTCAGTTTAATAACCATAATACAACTGCTTAAATGCCTTTAAAACCTGTCAGTGCTTCTTACTGCAGATCTACAGGGCATAATTCATCTCACATTTAGATGACTAATGAAAATGTCGTAAATAAATTGAAGTCTTACAAATAATGCTTTTCACATCATAAAGTCTTTTGTTAGCTACACCTCTGGTAAAAATAGGTATTTTAATTTTAAGAGTACAATCTACATATATATGCACATTTTCAATACACATACGATCCTTACTGTTGCATTGCCAAGAGCCTATTTTAATTGAATGCATGTTGCATGATTATCAGCATCATAATACAAGAAAAGGGACAAGCAGAACAAAATCTCAGTTTAAAACATTGCTTGTCTTATCTCATTATTTAAAAAAAAGTCATCTCTATGTGCATAGTTCATACAGACAAATGTCACAAGACAGTGTCATTTAATTGTGCTTATGTTTGCTCTCCTTTATATAAACATACATTGACAAACACACCTGGAGTGTGAAACACACAGAAACTACCCTATCATGCATTACAAGACAAATACATTCTGCAAGAGAAGGGAACAAGTTTCTTAATTTGTCAGTCATTGCAGGTAATTTTTTATCTACATTTTCTGAAAGATTAAAGGTTAGTAGATCTAAGGGGAGGCTCAAGGCCATTATTAGCGCCTCTTCTCATCTTACTTTGTACTGTTTGGTCATTTTGAATTTTCTATTTTTATCATTTGCAAATCTACCAGAAAAGGGCAGGACAAGGATCACAAATTATAAACTCGATCCAGAAAACGGCTCAGGAATTGAAGTTAAATGGCTGCTGCAGCCACAGTGAGACGCGTTTGGTCTGAGTGTTTGCAAATGTAATACAATGAGATGACCACTCATCAAGAATTTCTTGAATCTTCAGTAAAAACATTAGGAATGATAGAGCATACCATATCAATAAAACATTAGTCATTAGTCTCAAGAAAGAGAAGTTAAAAAATATTCAACAAATACATCAGGGGTTATAATACAAAACTCCTTTACATTTTTTTTTCATTTATACTTTATCTCTTATATTACACAACCCTAAAGAAGATATAACAATATATGCTTTCTTGTCAATCCTAAATTACATTTGATCTTTTCTCAACATTTTCCCTGATTTGAGAGATTTTTACTTGAAACCAAAGACAAAGGAGGGCATCACTTACAACCAATACAATGTTCTAGTGTCAGTAAGCTATTTTATCAAGAAACAAAGCAAAGAAATAAAATAAAAAACATGCTTAATTCTGTTTTCTTTGAATGTGGGAGAACGTCGCTGATTATCAATTTGTACAGTTCCAATGGGCTGCCACAGAGGTAAAAAAAAGCACTTTTGGAAAGGTAAATTAAGAAAACAAAAATCTTAGTTCGATCATATGTTTAGTTTCCAGGAAGGGTAGTGCTTTTGTGATGACCAAAAATTTCAAAGCGTTACTATTTACAATTTCAAACAGAGATATGGCCATCAAACACAGTGAAAAACACATCTCTGGCCTTGTTTCTACAAATACACATATTGTTTCAGAAGATGAGCTTTAAAGACAAATTTAAAAAAAAGTAAAACCAGCGAAACAGGGGAGCAGTTTTACGCCAGGTTCAGAAAAAAGCTTGGGAAACCACAGCAGTGTTCTCTACTAAATAGGGAGGCCATTAAGAACGTCTGTCTTCAAGTAAAAAGCCCACTGCTGATGCGAACTGTCTTTTATTTTTAAGGTCACCACCCCTACGTTAAATGCATTATTTAACGGGCCAAGGTTTAAAACTACACTACAGATGTGGCTATTTAGAGTTTCGCCAACCTGCCATCAGCAGTGATCACTTGCAGGCCCACCACTGGTTTCAATAGGGAACCAAACAAAACTTGCCCTATCTCGTTTGTGCTGCATGGTTGACTGCAAGGCTTCATGAAGGATTTGTAGAAAGCAATACGACCAAGATTTTTTCCACCGTCCCCCAACATTTTCTTGTGCCGGGTTATATATGGATAAATATTAACACTACATTATCGGGAAAAAGTACAAGCTAAATACAGTGAATGCAAAGTATTTTTTTAAATGTTATAATTAGACTTTTTCATGCTCCTGCTTCGACCGGCCTATATTCAAAATTGCACTGCTGCAATTTTCTGTTATGATAATCAGTGCGTTTTTCAAACAAAGACTCTTTTTTTTATTCAACACGGAATTTGATACAAGTGGTAATCTTCCTTTGTAGCCTGTTAAATCTGGTCCACGCCGGCTCAAACCAGCAAAATCTCTTGTGGCCAAGCCTTCTGCTGTGACTGAAATCGAAACGATGCCGCAGAGTTTTTTGTGTGAATGCATGTGTGTGTGTGTGCGCGCGTGCGTGCGCGCGCGCAAGTATAGACCTGTGTGTGCGATTGTGTGTGAAGCCCCAACACGTGCAACGGTAAACTACCGAATTATTAAAAAAAATGCGATAGTGCCAATTCTGTCTCTGTCCGCATACAGATAACGAATAAATGCCGAACTCTATTAAACCGGCCTTTACACATTATCGCAGGGCAAACACGCCATTTTCAGAACTTATGAAGGCTCCCTATTTATTTTGTTATAAATCCTTGGCATGTAACGAACAGATTTGTGTCTGGTAATGATCTGCTCTGCCGGGGCTATATGAAATGATCCTGACCTCTTTCAGATCTTCAGGAATTAAATTGACCGACTTGCCCCAAATCCCCCCCACCACCACTCCTCGCCCTCCTCCCTTCCATCACCCTGCTTCGTTCTATAAAAACTGAAGTTCGTATACTCCATACACAGCAAGACCGAGTCTCGCATTATCACCAGAAGTTTTTAAGATGGAAATTAAGTAAATACAGCATCTAAAAACAGGAAAAAACTGCCACTCATTGCTTTCCTATTTTGCATCGTGTAAGGGTTTAACTATGCGAGTTCGGACGGTGAATCTTTTTTTTCTTTAAAGCTTTCTTAGATTTAGGCCGTAAAAAGGTGAGACAAAATCAATGTATTGAAACTGGTCTTAATGATCATTATCAGTTTTAAAAGTTAAACCAGCTGTTCTTATTATTATTTAGATGTTCCTCTGATTACAGATAAGTTTGTGTTCACACACATTTTAAACACGAGCAATTTTAGATATTGTTAGCATTGACCTACAAATCACAGCGTAAGTATTTTAAATAGAAAAATAGTTTAATTGTGATTTCCCCCCCCCCCAATGTCTTTACCCTGATGAATGCAAGTACAAATGTCAAAAGAAAAAATAAGTCTTGCATCCATGTTTGACTGTTCTTTTAAATAATAAATAATTTAGACACCAAGACAAAAATTAATGATACCAGTGACCATTCGGCACCGAATATACATTTCCTGTTAAGAAAAAAACAACAGTCAGAGATTTACATGTCACTAAATGAGGAATTCATTGGGTTGCAAAATAATCCCTCACTTGAAATAATAACAGACCACTTAATTAAAGATTAAAAAAGGAAGAATGCTTTTTAAACATTTAAAAATCTGTTCTAATTTTTTGTGAAAAGTAGATTTTATTTAAAAATGACTTTAAGATCATTATTTGAACAATGGAATTTATCATTAACTGGTTTATTTTTCTTAAATCTGATGAGCAAAATATGGGTTACCCGACTGTTATTAATATATTTGATAGCACATTTTTTTCATATGTGACAGTTCTGGCAGCAAATCAACCCCCCAACTTCCATAGTAAATGTCACCATTGTTGTTTTTTCACTAATTTGGAGGGGAATATGCATATCAATTACATATTTCAGCTAACGATACATATGTTTGTAAGATGTGTGGTACAAAGGTTAGTATTGAAATGGTAATAAGAGGGATATCAAAAAGCAAACTTTATTTTAAGACAGTTCAGCTGCAGACAATTTCATTCTTCTTTTACAATTTGTATGACGTACTTTAACTATTTAACTGCACAGTTGGCAGGATAATTAAAAATATAATATGTAATTATTCAAAGTGCTATAGTTGGAATTCCAAGAGCTTAGTTCTGAAGACCAGCTGTTTAGGTGAAGGACAGACAGTACACATTGAAGTGAAGTGCTTTTGCTTGTTTGATGCTTCAGCACTTCAGAAATATGACAGAAGTACTAAATCTACATTTAAACATTTGACATACATTGTTTCTGCAATTAAACATTTTAGCGTGTTTTCTTAATAAAAAAACGTACATGCATTGATTCCAATTTAACAAGAAGAATAATAGCATTTGAAAGTATTTAACATCAATTCAGAAAAAAGATGTAATTTATGTCCAAGTTTAAATAAACTGGGTTATTTTAACAAGTTTTACTTAAAGAGCAATACAAGCTTATGGCTATTCAAATAATCATATTTAAGAACTACATAGTCACTAAAAATGTACCAGATTTGATGGATGTAGTTGTAGTGATGTTGATTTTACCAGAAAGCATACATGATGAAACCCCAAGTAATATCATATTATTTAGGATTTGATCCTTAGTTTATTATTTCAGTACAGTTCAATGCAGAGAGATTTTAATAAAATGATCTAAGGTAACAGAACAGTAAGTAGCAGTGAATATGGCGTCTCCTGCTACAAATACTTGTTTGCTCCTCACCGTGGGTTAATTACTGTTTTATTCTACAAAGTGGAAGGTCAGCGTTTAAACCAAAATTATACAAGTACTGTCGATCATCAGGCAGACAGTAAACACACATTTCATCAAGGCTACGCATATACGAATGGACATATTGTAGCTTGGCTTCTGTTGCTTTACTTTTAAGGGTTGGAAGATTAGATACAGCCCATTGTAGGTATGGGGTACTTTCCCAGCAGGGAAAAAGAAAACAAAAAAGAGCATTCTGAAATGAAGGCGACAGACAGTGAGGAGCTATGAGAAAGGAGAGCTTGCGATCTTGTGCCCTAAGATGGAGAGGTTGATTCAGACCTCAGCTTTGCATTGAACAGTATTTCTTCCACATGACTTGCTGCCAATGCTGTTAGTGAGCAGCTTGAGCTGTCCTGTGCAGCTCTGACCTCCCTCACCTTCCAGCCACCCACAAGGACTCCCTGATTAGCGGCCTACCTGACTCTCGGAGGAATTCCCATCATCCCCCAGGAGCTCATTCCGCACCTCGTCACTGTAGGCGATGCGTGACCTTTTCTGAAAAAAAAACAAGAGAAAAAAAGTCTTAGTTCGGTCTTAAAATAATTGGTTCTTCTTAAACACGAGGGCCCCCTAACGGAACTTATGTAAAATAGAGCCCCTTACCTGAGCTGGTGTTTCTTTCATATGAAAATATAAAATCCTTCAGTAAATAATAAAATATATATATAAGAATGTATTTTAAAAAAAAGTACTGCTTTGCCATGATAAAACCTTTCTCCTATGTGTCACTGCTGTCAGCTCACTATTGTTACACCTCTGTGATAATCTGGATTCAGGACTATATAGAGAATAATTCATCATCTGGGGCTGTGATTGGCGTTGCATCAGATTTGGCTCCCCTCTTACAACAGCACTTAGAGGAAGAGTGAATAATGTGATGTCCAAACTACACTTTTGAGTGTGATCGGGAATTTTAAGAAGGGTGAGCCATGTATAGATTGTTTACACATATAAAGTGGCTCCACATGCTTTTGAAAGAAAACATATGGGGAGAAAAACACATGAGCTTTCATTTGCGCGTTTCAAATCATCTTGAAAACAGTTTAAATTTATACTAAAAAAGGCACAAGTGAAATGGTGGTTTTACAAGTAAATCATTTTTTGCTACCTTCAGATTTAAAGCCCTCGAGTTTAAATGATAGATGTATTGATTCAAACAAGTTCATATATCTCACACATGGTGAGAAACTAAGGCCTTCACAGCTAACTCTCCACAAGTCTGCAGGAGACTCTTACATGAAATACATATTCAATGCCTGAAAACAAAGGCAGGAGGAAGGAACCGCTAATGTAAACACAAATACAGAGACTTTCAAAGCTCTGTGTTTCATTGGACGAGTCTAAATTTCCTTTTACCATTTCCTATTTAAAAATTCCCTGTCAGATTTCTAAAACCACGTATATGTTATAATATTAATTGTACATATTTTGTGGACATCTATTTTGTCTTTTAACTTTAAACATTTACAATTCACCTTTTGATAATATCCTGGAAGAAAATGTGCATTAAAGCATAAAGCTTTAAGTATATCCTAAAAAATTCACTTCTTAAGTCCTAAGAATAACAAGCATCAGATAAAATTGCAGCAGATGCCATTGGTATCATTATATAGTGCTGGGTTAGTTTAAGTGTTTTGTTTTTATAAAACAAAAAATGTAAAGATTACAATATCCGACTCTGATCACATTCAGTACAGTCCTTTTACAAATTCAACATAGTAACATGGTAACAGTAGAAATGGTTACAAGTAGGGTCAAGTAATAAAAAAAATCCCAAACCTTGTCTTCAAATGTGTCCTTATTAAGTATTATTACTCCAAAAACTGTACTCTTGAGAGAAAAGCAAGTTTGACTAAAATATCGCAGCTCCATAATACAGGACCAAATGCTGATACATGATTCCATTTATTCGGTAAACACAATCCAACACTAAACTTTTTAAAAAGGACCATATGTTTGTGGCAGGGTGTTTCTTTTCCTTTCAATTTTAAAAACTGCGTGTGCAATTTATTAAATGTGCCAGCAAATTCAAGCAAACAATTTTCCGCTTAGTACTAAGTACAAAAATAAACAGAAATACTCTATGTACAGTAGATGTTTATTCCATACTGAAAAACAGAATGAAAATAAACAAGTTTCAGTTTTGTAACTTTCAGGTGTGCCCCTGCTGATATGCTGTTTTTAGTCTCTATTTTTGAATACTGAATTAATCTTTGCTTAATCCTCTGAAGCACCAGTGCTAACACAACTCTTAACTGTAACCTAAATAAACAGGATATGTTCACAAAAATATATATTTGCACACAAAGCATAGAGAGCCACACATTTACAAAATGGGGTTTAAACAGAAACTATAACATTTAAAAATAAAATATAAATTTAAATTCTCTTTAATAAATCTGAAAAATCAATCCGACATTAATTAATTGATGCTTTTTAGATTCAAAAATAATTTTTATTACTACATTTACAATTTTTAACATTTAATTTTGGTTTCTAAAACTATTTAAAGATACACTGTGTTCCTTTGGCCTATAATAAGCATGTGACAATACAGATAAAAAATACTAATTTTATTGGCCACTGCAATTTAATCTGAGCACCGAAGTTAGCAGTAAGTCAAAATTTTTACAACCAAAAGTTAACAGCAGCAAAAACAAATAGCTCCCATACAAAAAGTATAATTTGATTGAAAAAAAATAATACAGATTGATAACTGAATTCTTAAGAGTTGTTTATTTTGCAGTAAAACTTACATTTGGCTCCAATTTACAATTGAGTTGCCTAGTAAACATCACAACCCGAACAAGCAAAGGCCATAAAAACTTGAGACGGGTGTCAAGTCTGATTACAACCTATTTTCAGTTTTCAAAGAGCAAGTTGTCTGTAATTGACATTTTTGTGGGAAGGTGGTTTCATGATACAGAGATGTTAAGTATTGCAAAGTTACACTTAATGTGCATTTTCTTCTCTTTTTTAACTACTCTCATTTTCTTGATAAACAAAGATAAAAATATTTCAAGCACACTACCGTTTTCCTGGGAAAACACCCACATATTCCATTTTTTTTGTCTGGTTTTTATCTTAAAGCGCTGCTCTGCAACTTTGGGGAATGCTGGCTTCCAGGTAATTGAGACTAGAAGCATCAGAGAAGGTTTGATTCAAATCAGCAGATTGACATCTTCTTCAGACCGGGGTATAAATAGCTGCATTTTAAGTATTCCTAAATTGCTGTTTGTTACTGTTGAGAATATTATCAGCTTTGGCAAAGTAACCTTTAAATGTTTAGCAAACAAAAACAATGGAAAAACAGCGCCTTTTATTCTTCTAAAAGCAAAAAAAAGTGACTGAAACAAAGAATATACATTTCAACAGACATCTGTAGCTTTTCTTATTTCATTTACAGCATAAGTTCCCCTCAAGTAAAATTCTACACTTATAATGATTATTCCCCATTCATTTCATGCTGAAAGTGAGTAGCTGTACTACATATTCTGTTTTTGTTATTGTTCTCTTGCATGACTTTTTTGTGCTTCGTTCAATAAAATACTGGTACATGAAAACAAATATTTGTCTGTATACTGCACACACTGTATACTTCCCAGCATTACTGGTCCCGTAATTTATCCTGTGTTGAATGTCTTATCGATGTTTACTTCCATTTAAACAAAAATCTTGCCTAGGTCCATAATCACATTTTTAGCATTATATAATAACAGCTGAAGAAAGTCTGGGCAAGTGCAAAATACATTTTATTATTATATTATCATTTTTTGTTATTATTGTTGTTGATATAATCATTATTTTTTTCAGTGCAATGAAAATAAAATTGGAAATGTTGTTTTAATACAATTAAAAACCTCAACTAAAACTAACTAACTATTTCACACCAAACCAAACACTTTTGCTCTAGGTGCAGGAATGTTAATCTAAAATGACCAATTGCTTTCAAAGGAAACATTTTGGGGAAGATAAGAGGAGAATAAGAAATAAAACACATATCTAATTTTCATCATTATGAGTCCTGTATCCAGTCATCTGACTTCTCAGATTACAACCACAGAAAATTAGATCAGGTTGGAGCAGAAATCAGCTGGATGTCTTTGAAATTTAACTAAAAAAATGAGCACTGATACCATACCATACTGCAATAGAAAGAGAAAAGAAAAGAAATCCTTTTGAAAAGTTCCTTTGTCACATTTTTTAATCTTGGGCACACATTTGTTTCTATTCCCAGAAGCACAAAAAAGTACAAAGGCCTTTCTTAACTTTGTGTAAAATGGGCTTTGTGGCTCTTAAACAGACGCACCCTGTCAAATTTAAAAATTACTTTTTTAGTGTACTGTAGGTACATTTTACAATTGGTGAGTAAAAAAAAACTAACTTCTGAAGGCATTATGAGTTTTAATTATTAAATATCAATTGTATAAAGTTTCCCCCCCCTAAAGTCTATTACAGAACAAGTTATTTTTCAATCTAGATTAATTTTGCTCAATGCACAAATGCAATTATAATTATAAGTTGCATATAGTAATATATTAAAATGATCAACAGGAGCACTGAATAAAAATATAGAACACTCCTTGAAAACAGATCGTTTGCATGTGCACACCCACATTTGTTTCATATAGTCTTCTTTGTCAGAGGGGAGAGGGTCATTAACAGGAGAAAAAAATGAAGGTGAGAACTCTACTCTTCATCTTCAGTGACAGACAGGAGGCATAATCTATTATTTGTGGAGAAAGCCACAGTCCTGTTATGAGATTAATTATTCCCAATCAAATGATAATCATGTTTTCCCATTTGCACTAACAAAGGTGACATGGTTAAGTACAAATAATTGTTTCTATCAGAAGCTAAAAATATAAAGTGTTCATTAAATTTCTAACATACGGCATAAAATACCCAGGGGCAGAGTTTAATGAGGTTCCCTAAAATTGAACTGCAACTGGTATGGTGAAGTGCTGTGTTTTGTTTTTTCCCTCCCATTTCCAACTCAGTTGGTGGTGTACCATGAAGGGTAATTAACAGTATTTAATTTCTAAAGAGTATTTTACTAAGAAATTCACTGTTAGAAGAAGTGAGCCCAGTCCTGGATTTACTTAAAATTCTGTTTCACTGTAGAGGAATTAAATGGCCGCTTAACCCCCTTTGCTCTTCTGCCAGATGAAATCGGCATTTATATCTGAAGTGTTACAAGAAGAATCCAAAAAGCTGCAAGTCAACTCGAGATTCTTCTCACTACAACTACAGGAAGTTTTATTCTCGCTGTACAACTTCAGATAAGAGAGGAACTGGGGTACTTCCACATTACACAAAAGGATACATCTGCATTTGTGTATAATTATTAATATTATAATTATAATGGCAATATCACATTGTCAAGATCAATAATATTAAAGCAGCTAAAATGGACAACCCCCCCCCCCCAAAAAAAACAAAAAACTTCACTATTTCTATAAACTCCCCCTCCCCCCTAAAAAATATTGTGTAGC